TCCCTCTTGGTTTCCGTTGCTCATAAGCCATGCCAGTGAAAGGAAATGTCTTTGAGGGAAAAGAATAAATTTGACCATGTCAAAGTGTTGCCTGGACTTTGTGCTGGGAGATGAAGGGTTGTCTTGTGGAAATAAAGACAAGCCAAAAAATAAAATGCCACTAGGGTAAAGACAAGAAATCACAGGCTACAGGGGTCCTAGGCTTGGAGAGACATGAATGAAACTGGCAAAGTGCCTCATTGTCTGTTGAGATGGTTCTTAAAGTATGGCCTGGGATCCTGGAGGGCCTTGGAATTCTTCCATGTGTTTCAGAGAGAGCAAGGAAGCAGGTATTTATTGAGGGTCTTGCAAATGCAGGACGTGTTGCAAGTGAGACCTTATGAAGCGCCACTACCACCGTAGCAGGTAGCTGTTGTTATCCACCCCCTACAGTGACAAGACCAAGGTTCGGAAGGGCTGATTAACTTGCCTGAAGGCACATAGCTAAAAAGCAGAGGAGTGTGAATTTGAACCCAGTCATGTCTGACTCCTAAGCATGAACTCTTAATGCCCTACCATACGATCTCCTTCACTGTTAAGAATTTATTTATAATATGACAAAAGTAGATGGAAATTTTAGGACAATGCTTTGCTTTGGCACTGATTAACTCTGTTTGTCAGAGGCGCTTATTTTTAAAAATGTTAAATGCTTTCTATTTCTGGCATGAATCAGTTGTTTGCTTTTGAGATTGTAAACAAAGGGTTACTTCAGAGTGTCCTACCAGAGCAATACCAGCTTCTTATTTACTCTCGTGAGAGCTCTTTAAATTTGTTATATTTTGTTTTGGTGTTTTGCACTGGTCAGCATAAGAGGGGATTGTTCTTGCTTCACCTCAGTGGATAAAGGTGAGAGCTTTTTAAGAGGTTCTGCTCACCACAGTGAGGAAGAGCGCTCCTTTACTTTATCAAGGGTCTAGGGTACATGGATTGCAACCTCAGGACTTGTTTTGTGAATACATTTTTATAATTTATTTTGAAGTACTTGCAAACTTACAGGAATGTTGCAAGAAGAATACGAAGAATTTCTAATGCCCCTTTACCTCAATTCTCCATTTGTTTACAAGTAACCCATTCACTCCATACTTTCTCTCTTTATATATATATATATATATGTCTTTCCATTCTCATTATTGCTTTTTCTAAAGTATTTGAGAACAAGTTGCAGACATGATCCCTCCCCCACTACATACTTCAGTATATACTGAATCAAAGACACTCTCCTATAAAACAACCACAAATCCTCTGAATCAAGACATTGTTACAACAGATTTCACCCAGAATTTGCCAGCTGCCCCAACAACATTTCTTTTTATTTTTTGGTTCATGACCAATCTGAGAGCACGTGTTGCTTTGGGTTGTCACCTTTCTTTATTTCCTTTCAATGTGGAACATTTGCCCTTCTTTTCCCTTGACCTTGACAGTATAGAAAGAATACAGTTCTTTCATTGGGTTTTTCCAAAGTTTCCTCATGCGTAGACTCAGGCCAAGCATTTTGACAGGAAACCCACAGAAATGAGCCTGGGCTCTTCTCTGTGCACCTCTCTGGGGTCTCATGATGCTGACCGTCACACCACTGATGGACCCTCAATCATCTATCCAGTCAGGGTGGTGTCTGCCAGGCTTCTGTGCTGTAAATGCACCATTTTCCCCTTTGTGGTTGATAGGTATTTTGTGGGGAGATATTCTAAGGCTACTCGAACATCACATCTACTCAACCTTAGTGTCTGTTGGTGCCCCTATCAACAACCCCTATGATGGTTGCCAAACAATGATAACTGATTTCCATCATTCCTTCTACATTTGTTTGTTGACCTCGTGTGGTAAAGAAGAGCTACCTCTTCTGATTTACTTGTCTGTTTATCTATCTATCTATCTAAAGTTTACATCAAAACTTCTAACTACAGTCTATCACTTCAGAATTCTATCTTTCCCTGATCCGTCTGTATTTGTAAATCCCATCTTCAACAGTAAAAAAAAAAAACTAGGCTCTAATTAGCCTCAATATATTTACTTCTCCACTTACTCCTTCTTACTTAGTGAAGCTTCTGATGATGCCTGCAGCCTCTGGGTTTCTTGCCCTGCCCCTACCATCTCGGCCCTTGGCTGCCCCCTTGGCCCTGTTGCCTCTCAGCTCCTGGCCATACTGCCACCTCCAAGGGAAGGAAAGAGAGAGAAAGAGGGAGAACAGGAAGTGAGGACTTGATCATTTTCTTCAGGGTCTTCCTTCTGTGGCTAACACAATCTGAGGCGACCTTCTTTGGGAATCATTGTCATTCATAGGCTATGCTGAAGGGATGAACGTATTTCTCTACCGAAGGATTCCCACCCCTCCACTCTTCCAAGCGATTGGGTAAGAAAGAGTCAAGGCAGGTGGCTGGGCAATAACTGGTGAGATTCTTTCCAGGACTTGAGCTGAAGGTGGCAGGGACTCTAGCCGATGAGACTGGGCCTTGCTGAATGATGGGTACAGACTGGCCTGAGGCTGCCACTTCAGCCACCGCGCACAGGTGTGTGGGTCAGCAGAGAGGACTGAGGCATGGAGCACAAAAACGGGTCCAGCTTTTGCAGGGTCCAAAGCTTATACCACTTTAAGAACAAATTCCTTAAGAAACATTCTTTAAGAAAAAATATGGCGATGAGTATGTAAACCTGAGGCCTCTAGATGCCCCTTACTTTTTCCATAACTGTTTTATTTAAATTAGCCCAAGTGGCTTTCTGCTTCTTGCACCAAGAAGCCAAAAGTCTGAGTATTAAGGTACTGACAACAAGCAAACACTAGCTGATTTTTCTTCTTTCAATTGTGAAGGCAAACTCAGTTCCACATTTTTGTCCATGAAAAATGTCCCTCTTAACTAGACCAGTGAATTGCCAGATAAGATTTGGGATTTGCAGCAGTAAATAAAGAGGAATCAGAAGTTATAGTTTTGGCATTGCTGTCCCAAATTTTTAGTCTGGTTCACAAAGATGCCTTCTAAATCAAATGTCTGAGTGTCCTTCAGGATTGCTGTTGATTCAAGATTACCAGGGATGCTTTATATCCAGTTTCAAATAACTTCAGAGTTCATATCAGAAAAAAAGCTTTCAGACTTGCTAGCAGAATATACTTGTGAAAGTGGAAAATTAACCCTTTTTGCAGGAAGCAGTGAACCTCAGTGAACAGAAGTGAACTGCAAATTAAGGAAACTACTCAGGTTTAGCCCACTCGCCAACAGGGGGCAATGTACTACAGGGGCGGTCCCTCCTGTCCCTTCTCTTCTTCTTCCATCCCCCCATGACAAACCAAGAGTCGTAACCGATTTGTGAGACCTTGTAAGAAGGATATTGCAGATTTAACATTGCTGATGTCAAAAAGAAGAAAAACCACCTAGTGTTAGCGTGTGAAGACCTTTTTATCATCTATGCAATTCCTGGGTCAGGTCTAGCTTGCACTCACTAGCTAAGCAAGTTACTCATTTTTCTTGAACGTTGGGTCCCTCTTCTCTAACATGGGTGCAATATTAACACCTACAGCTCTTTGTAAGTGGCAGAGTAAACAGCAAGCACTCAAACATAGCTAACAGTGGTGTACTGTGTGTTAGACTCTGTCGTGGCTGCTCAACTTCCATCATTTCATTCAAGCCTTACATCAGTCATATGACTAACCATATGACATAAAACAGCTCTTTTTATTCCCATTTTACAGATGAAGAAAATGAGGCACAAAGGGGTTAGATGATTTGCCGAATGTCCTTTAACTAGTTAATTGCTATATTTTATGGCACCTGAAGAAACTGGTGTAAGGAAGACTGAGATGACTTGCTCAAGCTGATGGCATCAGTCTGATGAAGGAATACCTCTTTAGTTTCACAGGAAATTGGGTTTTTTTCCTACTCAGTGGGGAAAGCTGAGACTTGGAGAACACGAGGAGACTTGTGAGCCTGAAACCCAGGGAGAGAGAAAGTAAAGCTTCTCAGGCCTCCTCCAGCCAGGGTGGAGCACCTGCGTGGCTCAGAGACTCTGGTACTTCCTCCTCTGGTCAGGGAAGGAGCAGCCATCTGTCTATGGGCTCAGGAGTCGCCATCAGCAGTGCTGACGATGTGGATCACCTGTTACCTCTGCAGCTCCAGAGAGGTGTCCATGAGGGACTTTTACTTAGGGGCCAAAGTAACCCACCATCCTTTAAAAGTAGAGAGCTAAAAGTCAAATGCACATTGACGTTTTAAACATAGCAACTCCTGCATTCACTTTGCCACATTATAATTAAATGGCATCAGGCAGGTTTTTATTTAAGACTTTGACTCATTTGGGGGATAATTTGGTGATCCCTCAAAAAGAAAGTCTTATTATAGAGAGATATTGCGTAAAGGGCACTCAGGCCTTCAAAGGGACATTAAACAGCCATGCGACCCAACTTGGTCACATGGCTGTTCAGTGGCAGAGCCAGGACTAAATACTTCCTTGGAATTAAGGCTTAGGCTGTGGAGTCATTTTGACATGGGTCCAATCCCAGCAAGCTCCTCACTGGGAATCTGAGCAGATTCCTTCTTGTCTCCAAACCTGATTTTCCTTCCAGGGCTGTTTTGAGAATTATATAAGATGATGTAAGTAAACACTTAGCAGAGACTAATATGAACTATTATTGTAGTCTAATGTTCTTACAGCTCAAGAATAATACTGCATGTCTAATTCTTTTGCAGTATTCCCTCTTTCCCTCAGCTTTTTGGAAGTATAAGGAACACACAATAAACTGCACATACTTAAAGTGTACAATTTCAGAAACTTTCTGGGGTGATGGCTATGTCCACTATCAAGATAATGAACATAGCCATCACCCCAGGAAGTTTCTTTGTGTCCTTTTATAACTCATCTCTCCTCTCCCTCCCGGTCTCTGAGCAAATGCTGATCTGCTTTCTTTCACTATAGTTTGCATTTTCTAGAATTTTCATAAATAAAACCCTACCATATGCACTTTTTGTTGGTTTTTTTTTTTTTTTTGCCTGACTCCTTTTACTCAGTGCAGTTATTTTGAGAATCATCCAATCTATTATTGGCTTGTTTTTTGGAGGACGTCCTTTTCTCTCACAAGCAGCTGACAAACTGTTTCCAAGTGAGAGACAGGGGCCAGGGGAGCGCTGCCTCAGGGTCTCAGCTGCGGCTTCCAGGCGTGGATGCAGATGCCTGGGGTTTCCAATGCTCCCGTCTTAAGTGCTCGGGCGCTCCCCTGTCCCAGGAGCATGCAAGTGCAGGTGGTTCAAAAGCAGGAGGACCTGAAGGGTTCCCACCAGGCAGCCTTTCACATTACACGTGCACAGACGCCACCCCCAGGCGCTCATAGGTCTGGTGGGTAGAATGGTGGAAAACCACTTTTCTAAAGTGATGCCACGAATTTCCAAAAGTCACTTGGGCAGTGAACATTAAAGCAAAAGGAAGGGAATTCAGATAGCACCCGGTGGTAAGAATCACATTTCACAGAAAAAGTGGGATGCTCTGTGGTCTCCAAAATACATTGTTAAGACATCCATGGGCCATCACGAATGATGTGGCACCTACAGTGTTTGTGACCACATGTGAAAATAAGCCTGCCCCCTGGGTTCATTTCAGCATTCTAAACCTGTGTGACCAGAGAGCCATCGTGTGTTGTGTGGACCAGGAAATAAACAAGGGTGGTGCCATCACCTGCTCCACATGCGATGCCAGAAAACCACGCTCGAGAGGACACGGAAATCAATATCGAAAATGAGACACTCGAGTTACCGCAAAGAGCTATTTTTGCTTTTTCCAAATTGCTCTGTTTCTCTAAGAAGCTATTTTCATGGCAAAGCCAGCCTCTTCCTCGGCTATGTATAGGGACAATTCAGCAATTTAAAAACAAGTGGGAAGAGAAAAGAAATTGGCAAATAGGCTCACACCCCAGGAATAAATCTGGGGCAATTCAAAAGGCAGTGTGAGTTGGTTATTTTTCCAAATATCCGGCCTCTTCAAATTCCACCCTGGGGGTTGGAAACCATCAAGAAATAAATATACATGCACGTTGGAGGGTCACTTTCTAGTAAGCACTCAGTGTTTAAAAATAGGGATTGAAATGGAAAAGTCTCCTCCATGTCTGGTGGTGACAGTCCCCTGTGCTGTCGTTTGCTCCGCTATCCAGGGACAGTGTTTAGATGGCAGGTGAGGGGAAGTGTGGGTCTATTTTTAAAGCTCTCTGGTTTTCTGACTGTTGCCAGGGAGAAGGTTGACAAAAGAGGAGCACAGCAAAAGGAAGGTCACCTCAAACATTGGTTCAGTGAGTCACTGGACAATTATTTACTGGTTCAACTGCCCTGAAATACACAGAATCTGCCCACTTGGCTCCATCTCCTGAGCCGCTGTATTTGTCCGGCAACCATTATTTTTCCTCTTCACTAAGAGGACTTCTGTTTTCTCTTGAGGCTTCTCCAGTAATCTGCTTTCCACCCAGAAGCTTTTAAAAAGTGGAATCACAACCTTGATTGATAGAAATGCATGGTAAAAAGTCTGGAAGAATAGCCAGCAAACTGTTCAAAGTGGGTATCCCTGGTGAAGGGATGGGGGGAGACCCAAATGTTTTTACTATGTGGTTTGAATTTTATACCGTGGACTGTATTTCTTTCATAATTTTAAAAGGATCTCAAACATTTAACTTGGTCCCTATACTCTAGGAGCTCTTAATCTTGCATTAGATTCCCAGACACTGAAAATTCTAGGAATTAAGCTTGTTCGTTATGATCTCAGGGGACAGAGGCTACTGTGGGGTGGGCCTGACTGAGAAACTGAACATCAGGGGAAGCGTGCTAATCAGCAGAGCTGCCTGAGAAAGATCCGCAGGCCAGCCAGCATCGGGGCGAAGGCCAGGGCAGGTGTTTGGGCTGAGGCTGGGGGCCCTCTGCTGGAAGCGGTGTCCAGGACTTACGTGTCACCTTTCCCTACAGTTCCATGACTCCATGGGCTGTCCCAGAAGGCACATTTTTTTGAGCCAGACTGCTAAAGGGATATTCTCCAGGGGGTCCCGTTACTGTCTGCTTTTTTCATTTCTGCCTCCAATTTCTGCCAGACAAATACATTCCTAGCAGCCTTAGTTGCATGTGCCAGGTATGGATAGGGTCCTTCTACGAGATAAAAAGAACACACAAGACGCATGGGAAGCCAAGTTGCATACTAGAAGCGGAAAGGGGAAGGAACTCCTGGAAAGGAGATGAAGGAGAAGCAAACAGCACAAGCGTCCCTGCTCAGCTTTGCCTTCAACCCTGCGCTATAACTCCACCCTAGCCATGCCCACCGCTGCCGCCCAGTGGCTGGCTTCCAGGTCACCCAGGTTGCTTCCCTCAGGCACAGCACCATTTCTCCAAGCAGCTCATTGTTTGGCTCCTGGAGCAGAAGTCAGTCATACTGCTGTTCAAAGCGATGACCTATCCTTTGAGATGTCATTATTCTTGCTCTGGAATGAATAGAGATATTAGTCTGATTGGACAAGCGCTTTATGGAGCCTTCCTTGCTCCCTGTAGACTCTTAGACTGTTACAAATCGGTTGAACCATGTTTTTATTTTTTCCACCACCTCAAGGCCATACCATTTTTCTTTTTAATATACAGACCATGCCTTGCACAGAGTAAGTGCTCAATAAATATTTGTTGAATTGATTTTCTTGTTCTGAGAAATGGCAGAAAGACCCCCTTGCTTTATGCGCATAATTCTTTCATGCGGCTATTGTTGAATTCTTTTCCCACACCAGGGTAAGTCTCAGGGTCTGAACTGCATCTTGGCTGGATCAACAAAACAAATGTGACCGGAGACGGAGGACAGGTTCTGGTGGGAAAGGGAGCCCCGAGGTGGTAAAAGGAGAATAATTCCAATCCCATGTGGGCAGGGGACAAATATGAACCATAGGCTGAGAGTGTATGTGAAGAAGAACAGATGATGGGAGGGAGAACAAAGCAGGGTGCTGTGACGGGCTCAGGAGCCAGACAGTGACAGATGAGGGTGGCTCAGCCAGACACCCTGGGTTTGCCTCCTGGTTCTGTGACACGTGTCACTCTGGACAACTCATTTAATTCCGTCCACAGAACCACCACAGCATTGGGGAAATGAGGCAACTCTGTCAGTGTGAGGATTTAATGAGGGAGCTAATATATGCGGCAACACTGTAAACTGTGAAATGTGATGCAAAGAGAAGATGAATTAGCAAGATTTGAAAACATTTCATGTCCTTGAAGAATCCTTTTTAAAAATTTTTATTTATCTAAAATATTTTAAAAAATTTCAATTACTGTTGACATTCTACATTGTATTAGTTTCAGACATACAACATAGTGGTGAGACATTTATATAACTTATGAAGTGATCCCCCATAATTCTAGTACCCCCTGACACTGTATATAGTTATTGGCTATATTCCTTATGTTGTGCTTTACATTCCCTTGACTACTTCTTTTAATCCTCACCCAAGAATATGTTTATTGATTTTAGAGAGATAGGAAGGTGTGTGTGGGGAGAGAGAGAGAGAAACATCAATGTAAGAGAGGAATAATAATTGGTTGCTTCCTGTATACACCCTGACTAGGGCTCAAACCCACAATCTAGGTATGTGCCCTGAAGGGGAGTCAACCCTGTAACCTTTTGGTGTGCAAGATGACGCGCCAACCAACTGAACCATCCAGCCAGGGCCCCTTGACTATTTTGTAAGAACCAATTTTGACTTCTCAATCCCTTCATCTCCCTTTCTTTAAAGATTTTATTTAGTTAGTTTTTTAGAGAGGGGAAGGGAGGGAGAAAGAGAGAGGGAGAGAAACATCAATGTGTGGTTATATCTTGCACACCACGTGCTGGGGACCTGACCTGCAACCTAGGCATGTGCCCTATACTGGGAATTGAACCAGCAGCCATCTGGTTCGCAGGCCGGTGCTCAATCTACTGAGCCACACCAGTTAGGGCCTAATCCCTTCATCCTCTTAAAGAGCCCTTTACAAGTGTTCTTTTGCCTTCTCTTTCCTTCTATAATTTTATTCATGGGGACCCAGTATCTCCAAGCTTGAAGGGATCTTAGAGTTCATATGACCCATTCCTGTCATGTTCTGGACTTAGTAATAGACTCAGAAAGATTCAGTCACACACCATCAAACCCATCAAAGTTGTCTGGATTGGACTCTCCTCATTTAAACTTCACTTTGTTCTCTACTCCCCTAGTTGACACTTCCCTTTTTCCTCACATGTCATGTTAAGGACAACCCATGCTGCTCAGTACAAACAGTGGGTCTAACTACTGAGTGCGGGGCGGGGAATCTCACCCCACAGCTGCTAGGCCCTACAGCCATAATTACCGTAGGACTCTGCAGCTATGGCCAGGCTGTTTTGGAAAGGATGGTTTTCTGTGGGCTCAGGATTCCATTGGTCAAGGTGGGATGGGAAAAGATGAGGCCTCTGCACCCTTGTATCCTGAGCATCCTCATACTCTCTCGCTCCCAAGATTGACTTCCTTTGATTCTCTTTGGTTTCTGTGCACACCTTGCAATGTGTCACCCCTCCATTTTAGCTCATGTCTTTGATGCAGCCCTTTCCCTCCTCAGTGGCACACTCGTGAATGTCCCTGTTTGGTGCCTGGTCTATCTTCCTGACCAATACAAACACCGGGGATTTGATATCTATCCGTAGGCATGTGTATCACAGAGAGGTCACATGGCAGAATGATTAAAGAACCAATCAGAGAACAAATAAGATCAGTCCTGTGTATTTACAAAAAAAAAAAAAGATTAATAGTGAGAAACCCCAAGAAAGATGAGTGCTTTCTGTTTTGTGTCATCCCTTCCTGAGAGAGCAGAAGGAGGAATGAGGGGCTGACAGTCCCAGGTAAGGCAGGCTGTTGAGCAAGGGAGCCAGAAGCCTTTTTTGCCACCTCATTTAGCAGCCTTCCAAATGCAGCCGCCTTCTCAATCGTTGGGATACTTTTCCTTCTGCTGTCCTCTGTAGCCTCCACAAACTGCTGGCC